TTTGGCCTAAATGTCAATTCAAGACAACAACTAAACAACGTTTAACTTCACATCAATTAATTCATTCAGAAATAAAACCATTTAAATGTGATTTTAATAATTGTAATAAAAGTTATAAACACATCAGAGGTTTAATTCAACACAAAAATATAATTCATTTAAAGAATAAATTTGTTTGTAATTACGAAAAGTGCCATAAAATTTATAAACATAAAGAAAGGTTAATTAATCATATAAATTATGCCCATTTAAATAAAGGCAATATTAGATTTATTTGTGATTTCAATGAATGCCACAAAAGTTTTATAACAAAAGAGAATTTATTAAAACACAAAAGTTGTGTTCATTTGAATGAAAAGAAATTCAAATGTAATGAAGAAAATTGTGGAAAAAAATTCAATCAAAAACATCATTTAATTTCACACAAACGCATACATTCGGGAGAAAAACCATTTGTTTGTCATTTTAATAATTGTAACAAAAGGTTTCGTCAAATATCTCATCTCAAACATCATATGAAATGTATTCATAATAACTGTAATCAACGGTTTGTTACGAAACAGGAATTAACACAACATTTAAATCACACATACATCAATAAAATTGTAAACAAACTTTAATCAATTATCGGAACATTTGTTAATTTAATAAGATTATTATAAGATCATTATAATTTACAAAAAACATCTCAATCAACACATTAAAAGTCACTTCAATATAAAACGCCGTAAATTTACTACAATTATTTAATCACAAATTACATATTGTATTAATTATATGAATTAAATAAACTCATAAAACAATATAAATCAAATTTAATAAATATCTATCAAACACTAATATTATTATTAAGTAATACAGTATATTATTTAACAAGAAGTAATGTTAATCCTATGGGTGTCACACGTTAAACAGAAAGAAGTGGGTAACATTATACAGTAGTATAAAATATTAAACATTATTTTTTTTAAACTCACAAAAAATTCTATTAATTAATTTAAATGTTTAGCCTTTTTGTGTTGACTTAAACCAAACTCGTTGTAGAAATATCGGCCGCAATCATCGCACGGTACGGTCCGGCACTTTTGTCCGGTCCCGGGCTTTGTTATGGTCCGCCCCTTTAGCGGTTGACCCGTCCCGTGAACGGCCCGCGTGTGCGAGAGATAATCATCGGTCGTATCAAACCATTCAACGCAATAATCGCAACGACGGCTATATCTGTGAACCAATGTTCCCGACGACCACTCATAGTGTGTGGCCGGGGGTGGAGGCGATGGCGTGCGAAGTCTGACCCGACGTATACCCGGAGCCAATTCATGTATTAACTCATTCCCACCTTTGGTTATTGTAATGGTCTCTACGGGCGGTCTGTTTAATAATGTAAACACTATTGCAATACAAATACTATAAGAGTTGTGACAATACTTATTGACTATTTCCGGCACAGGTATGGAGTCTATGAGCGATGGCTTGATATCAACGGGCGATCGGTTACGTGCGGGCCTTTTGGGCGCCGGAACTCTACCAATGAGTTCGATATCGGAGTCCGAATTACTTGAGTGTTAAGAAAACAATTCAAAACTAAAAACAAATGTCTCTCTTATGATATCACATATACTAATGCCGTTTATTGTCAATCGATTGTCTGTCGGGACTGGAAGTGGTGCTGATTGTGGCCAGTGATGGGTCAGTTGTAGTGGCAGTTAGATCTGCCGTATCGTATAATGTACTGAACGATCATAAATGGGATAATAATCAGTAAATATCACTAAACGCGGACACAACCCATACTTATATCGCCAAATGTCCACCGATTGACTGTCGGGACTGCAAGTAGTAGTTGTTGTTGTCGACGGGACTATAGGGTCAATAGTATTGTTGTGTTGTCTGTCATCGAGTGCTGCACTTAATGACTGGTGTCTGACATGAGATGATCTGCCGATTGGTTCCCCGGACTGTGTGTTGTCTTCGACGGCATGTCTTCGCCTCATATGTGAATCCAAACGGCTTTGAGTGTAAAAACATTTGTTACAGTCTTCGTAATTGCATTTCAATGCAATCGTTGGCCGCAATTGTTGTACAAATCGGTCGACAATTGACTCATAAGTCAGTGAATGACTGGAAACACAATAAATTTGTTTTTAACCAATCATTGAATGTTTTAAGAGAGACCTGTCGTCCGGCGCCGAAGACATCGGTAAATATGAGGACATATATTGAGACAAACGACCAGAAAGTCAGTCAACGGGACATCACTTTTAAACACAATATTATATTAATTTAATTAAATTATAAATTGATAAGTAAAACATATTTTGATTTGATTTTAAATATCTATGAAAATATAGTTATTTTACTTTAAAATATTATAAACAAATATTGGATAACAATATCTGTGTAAACATTATATCATTTTATGTCTTTTGATTAGATATAATATAGACTGGTTCCATAAATCCGCCAAACTTTTGTAACCTTGTTTTAAATTAATTGTTTAAAATAAGTTTATAAAACAGGACATAGAATTGAAACTGTGTTTATTAGGCTACAAGACACTATAAT